CAATGTCATTTCAAGTGATTGGTTGCTGTTTGATATCCCCGGTGTGGCTGCGCTTGATGTGTATATTGACAAGACGCCTACCTATCTATTACCCACTACCTCATCCATACTAGCTCCAGGAGACAGTTTGTCGTTGCTGTAGGGGACGGGGTGCACGGTCCATGTGGACGTGCTAGGCTCGAAGAGTGGTTCCATGCACTCAGTGTGGAGCGGACTACGGTCCAGCCGCCGCCTTGTATGCGCTTGATTCCCAAATACAGCGTGCTTGTGTTTGCCTGTGAAGGAGTGTGGGCCGGCTCCGTTGACGAAACGTGGCTCCCATCCGCATGCCTTGCGGTTTTATTCCTTCGGGTTTACACTAGATATGGGGTGTGTGGATGGAGCTGTGGGTGGTGCAGCGCAAGCCACCCATGGTCCCTTTGTAGGCGCAGGCATCCTGTGGTTGGCCACAGTGAAGGCCACAATAACATCATTGTATTATTACACAAGTTATTTGCAGGTGGAAAACACCTCAGCTATTGTGCCGCAATATATTAGAAAAGAAAAAACATGAAACAGGCAAGCCGCCTGAGTCACCAGTGACGGATAGACATCGTTCCGGAAAGCTAACAGCCGGCTATTGTTAAACAAAAAAGGTTGAACTATGCCAAAAATGAGATAGTGATTGGAGGGGGAGGCTAAGCGGGAGGGACAAAGAAACTCACAGCACAAACGCCATTGAGATCGGTTCCTAGCTATGTCAGCAAGTGTATCCAGCTAAACGTGTTCATCGTCCTTCGGTCCCAAACTAGGGAGCCGAGAGGCTCCAACCGAGGCCAACTTCGGAGTAAGGACCTTGACCAAGTCATCGCTAGGCAAATCCTCCTCTTCCATCCGCACCTGCGACGCGCAAACTACGTACGTCGCGGGAGTCGGTGGGCTGGCTTGCGCAACACGTGGCCCAGCCATCGGAGGTTGAAGCGTGAAATAACGGTGCTGAGTAGTTCGCTTCTTCTTCCTGCGCCATAAACAAGGCGTCGAACAGGCTCAGCCACAGTGACAGACAAATCGGGAACTTGATGCCGCCAACTGACTGATTCATAAAGAAAGTATGAGAGCTCTAATGCTAACGACCTCAAGCAGTCAGCATCTGCACACGCAAGGAGAAATCGTGAGCTAGTGGAAAATAGTCGATGATCCGCCAAAGAATGAAGAAAGTTCGACAGACCCGCAAAGGACGTGAACAGGAAAGTACTTAAACATCTGCGTGAATGTGCATAGAAGGTGGAAAGCGGGATATTAACTAAACAATAACGGGACGTGTTAAAAGTCCAGAAAAAGGAATGAAAACCTAATGACTTGTGTTGTACAGTAGCAAAATGGATGTGTTACGGTGCGGCGTAGACAGGATTTACTTGAGGATCCTACCGTTAACTGACAACTGCCTGAAGCCATTAAGACCACAAGGTTACTTATAAATAATCTTCATGTACGATACTCGGTACCTCAGTGAGACGTGTGCTGAGTTCCAAGCACCCATGATAGCAAGATCACATTATCCATCTACATACCGGTTATCTATCCCAACGTTTCAAAAACGGTCAGTGTTTGGGCACGGTGTGCTGGTGGTCAGCCGATGATGTTACAAAAAAGTTGGGAAAAATTGAATGAAAGAGTTAATCGGGCTGAGGCGAGTAGTCTTTCAGGTTGGGGAACTTTGGGTCGGCTTGATCAGCGGCGCGGTGCAAATGAGCAATTAGTAGCGCTACTGCATTCGTTACCTTGTTCCCAAGTACTTGGTCAGTAGCATCAATATCAGTTGGTGGTTAGTAGGTTAAGTAATCTGCCTTGTAATCCGAGGGTCGCAGATTCGAATTTGCGTACGTGCGGTAGACGCCGAAGTGTCCCCCCCCTCCCCGGTGTGACTATTGACGGTTCCATGACAGCAAAGCGTCGGTATGAAATGGTGGCGTACCGCTGCTCAAGACTTGCTTTTTCGCCCAGTTACCGTCAATCCTTATTGCTCACAACGCGAGCAGTCAACTGCATCCACCTAACAGTGGTCCTATGGCAACTGCTGATGAAGTGTGCAGAACAAAACGGAGTAGAAAAAGACTACACACGCAATTCGATAGTATGACTCCAGGCCAGCACCATCATTGTCATCATTATACAGCATTGGTTCTCAACCTTATTGAGGTTGTTGCCCACAAAGCGGGTTCATTAGAAACAATTACCATCAAAAACTCTAGCTTAGAAAGTCAATTACACATCGTAGTTTCGCTTTAAATTACGTAAAATGCATACTACTTGCAATCGCTTTTATCATTTAAATAAGGAGAACATCTGTTTTGAGCACATTTTGATTAAACCAAGAAGGGACGTACGTCAATGAGACGGTTGATATTGCTTACTTGCAGCAATATTATAGTATAGTTGGTGCGGCTTTGGCTAATGCACATCGTAGGCCGTGCTTCAAGCTCATTCGGTTCCTCGCTTTGATGTATGATCCCTGGTCAAAAATGAACACATCTCAGTGGTATCTTAGTTGTTCCAACTATCCCTCGAAGTCCTTCCTGGATGACAGTTCCCATCGCCAATCCGTACTGATACGTCCCGAATGCGAATCGCCTGTTTTATCCCTTCTGCTTTGTAAACATTTGCTTGTTCCTTTACCTGATCAGCTGACCTACCTTAGTTTTACTCAACTTTGCAATACGACCCGGCGAACGACAACACGATACAAAAAAAACAACGATCGACGAGCTAGCCGATCGAACTGCCATCTAATTGCACTGCATTGCAGGCCTGTAATCGTATTTCAGAGTATAACAGGATTTAATACCTGAGGTGGTCCAGTTTACTGACCATTCGCAAATTATTAGTCACTGGTGGCTAATCAATAGTGGTTAGATAGTTACATGCTTGATACCGATGAGCTTGATAGTTAATTTGTTTGGCGACAGATTAATGACTCAATCCTCGTACTTATATTTACGCCCCTTCGGTAAAATTCGTTTTATCCCTTTTGGGGGTAATTACCTTAGGTTGAGAACCAGTGTCATAGACGTTAACTGGAGGTGAGAAACACCTCAGCTATTGTGCTGCAATACATGAGGAAGGAAAAAAGACGCAGCACAGACACGCCAGCTGAGCCACCAGTAACAGATGGGCAATGTTCCTAAGAGCTACCAGCCGGATGTTGTGCAACAAAAACGTCATATTGTGTCAGAAATGAGATTGCAGAGAGGCTAAACGGAAGGCGACAGAATCTCACTCAGACTACAAGCGATTAAGTGGAACCGGGGATGGCGAACTGTAAGCCACCTCCAAATGTGGGTCACACCAGTGCGGTAGACTAACAAGCCTAGGTAAATTAGAAGTGACTTGATTGGGGCACGGTACACAACGCTGGATAACGTAGTGGATACAAATAACGTACCTTTTCCAAGAAACCCTTATTAAGACTGAGAAAGCCACGAAGCCAATTAGCTGAACGACTTGGAAAATCAAAGGACTCTCCGTCTGCGGTTTTATACTGTTCTTGATGGAGTTCGTTACTGTGTGTCAGATCTTCGCATCGCTCTAGCCACGTTTCAGCGTTTGGAAATGGTACAATGAGCCAATCATTTGTGGCAGCGAAATGGACAACTTGAGAAAGAATGACCGATATTCCAGTACCGGGCTGCCCGTAGAGTAAGAAACGAGGAACAAAATTAGCCCCAAGGCGGAGAGGAGCGGAATTCGTGCCAGTTTGTAGTGATCGTACGTCTAGCAAGTCCTTGATGATACTAAGGCAAGAAGATCGAACGAGAAGCGAGTAATCTTTGAAAACGGAAAGCTCTTCCACAAACTCCGGTTTCAAGAATGGTTCTATGAGTGTGTGAAATTCTTCAGTAGGGTAGGTGACGAATTTTGTCAGAACGGAAGACATGCAAGATACTTGGTCCGCATAGGGGATGAGCTTGGCGCGAGGGGCAGTTTGATCGAGGGATAACAGTGAAGAAGATAGGAAACGGTGGAGACCGGGGAGAAAGCGAGATCGACCGAAAAGATAGGCAAATCTAGTTGTCATCTAAAAATTGAAAGAAACAGGAGCGTAGTATGACAAGTTCAATTGCCACGTGCTTAGCAGGAGAGAGGAACAGTTGACTAATTAGCATGGAGCTCGCAGATTTCGCCTCAGATGTACAGTCACTATGTGGAGATTCAGGCTGCGCTAGTAACAACCGAGCCGTCCCGCAGAACATTGATGCCAAATCGCAGTGAACCATGTGGACACTCATCAGAACACAGCGGCAGTTACCGCACAAACACACACTGACATTACCCGAGCTTTTCTCAGGACACTATCAATGGGTGACAACTCAGGTGCCTTGCCAACATCCTACCTTCTTCATAGTTAATGCATTACACTGATATTCTATTGAGCTATAAATATGAAGATATATATATATATATAATACACAATCTGTGGTACAGATATTGTGCCATCAGAATCATGGCTGAATAGGAAAACAATATGAATAATAAGAAAAAAGCAACAACAAAAACTTTTTTGTCCATTTTACCACTCACAGTTTTTGAAACATTTTTCAGTTTGTTTTTTTAGAGGAGGAAGAAGGGACACCGCAAAAAACCGATGCACACGTCCGCCATTGACATCGATCTTGAGCCATAACTTCCAAGGTCTTCAACCAGCAAGTATCCTCATCTCTCGGACCCCAACCAGGTAGTCGACAACAACCGGCCGAGGCCAGCTGTTTCGTCAACTTTTTCAGGCGGCTTCTCCATGTTGTAGGCTGTCCACCAGACCGTCTCTTCCAGCCCTGTCCAGCAAGTGCAAACAACGCACGACGGGGGTAACGCTGGACAGGCATGCGCAATACGTGTCCCAACCACCGCAGTTGATGCAGTGAGATGAGCTCCTCGAGCGAGTGGCTTCCACGTCCCAAGACACGCTGTCTAACTTCCACATTGCTTACGTGGTGCTGCCACCACACACGAACAATGGACCGCAGACAGCGGTGCTCGAAGACGGATAGTCTGCGCAAGTCATCTTTGCGAATGGGCCAGGTCTTGCATCCGTACAACAGTACAGCACGAACAGTTGCACAATAGACCCGCCCTTTGATGGAGAGACGAATGTCGTGGCGACGCCACAAATGCCTCAGCCTAGAAAAAGCGAGGCCTGCTCTCGAGATGCGCATCGAAATCTCGTCTCCAACAGCCCCGCCAGCAGTGATGCAACTTCCCAAGTAGACAAAGCTCTCTACAACCTCTAGTGTCTCACCAGCAAGTGTGAGTGCAGGCAGAGGCACCTGCCAGTCTTGAAGGAGAGCCTTGCATTCGGGTGGCGAAAAGTACATACCGTACTTTGATGCTTCAATCGCCAAGCGGTTTAATGCAAGTTGGACGATCTGTGGATCGTCACCCAGCAAGACGATATCATCAGCATAATCCAAATCAACAACTCGACTACCTGGGAGGAGCTCAACGCCAGCGTTTAACGAATCGCTCAGAGCGTTCTTCAGGACATCCTCAATGGCAAAGTTGAATAGGAACGGAGAGATAGGGCATCCTTGTCGAACTCCACTGGAGACCACAAAGGTAGGCGAAAGCATGCCATAAGCCCTAACCCTGCCCGAGGTCAGACTATACAGAGCGCGCAGTATGGAGACGAACTTCTCGGGGACACCATTCCTCAGAAGGCAATGCCACAGTACTGTACGATCGACAGAATCGAAGGCTGCAAGGATATCCAGGAACACAGCAATCGTTGGCCTCTGATACACATGGCGGAGCTCGAGGATCTGGCGAAGTGTGAAGATTTGATCGATGCAGCCGCGACCAGGACGAAACCCAGCTTGTTCTTCTCGTTGCAACGATTCGCGTGTTGGGGAGAGCCTGCGAAGTATGATGGACACCAGCAGCTTGCAAACGACGGGGACTAAGCTTATTCCTCTGTAGTTGGAGCAGATTGTGCGCAGGCCCTTTTTGAAGATGGGGACAACTATCGATTCACCTCAAGATGATGGAACTTTCTCTTTCGACCAAATTTTCGAGAACAAAGCGGTGAGTTCTCGAACCAGCGATGCACCATCATCTTTAAATAGAGCCGGAGGAAGACCATCAGGGCCGGGGGCTTTATAACGCTTCATGTGCCGGAGCTCCTGCTCGATTTCCTGGGAAGAGGGAGGGTCTGTTGGGGTAGACCACTCGGCCCCAGGGCGAGCGCCAGAGGTAGCAGATGGAGCTGGGGGCCAACAAAACTGCGAGCCAAAATGTTCGGCCCATCGCTCCAACCGTCGTTGAAGATTGGTGATTAAGGTGCCATCCTCTTCGCATATTGTTTCACTTATACCAGATCGAACACCTTCGGTGACTCGAATAAGATGGAAGAGTTTCCTGGTATTACCACAGAGACTAGCAAGCTCCATCTCCCTAGCAAGTTCACACCACCAAGCTTCGCGGTCCATTTGCAGACTCCTGCGCAACTCTCGACCAAGGTATTGGCGTTCCTCACTGTGTCTGGAATCCGATGGGATCAAGCGGCGTCTGTCCATTAGCGACAAGGAGTCGGCAGAAATCCAATGTTTCGGTGGGTGACGGGTAACTCCACAAGTGTCGATACTGACGGAAACTAAAGCATCTTTGATATGCGCCCACTGCGAATCGAGATCACTGTCAACAGTTGAGCCAAGCAAGGTTGACAGTGAGGCTTGGTACCTGGTTAAAATCGCAGCGTTTTGTAGATTCGCGACGTCCGGTCGGTAGTGCGCGCGCTTAGGTGATCCTCCGAAACGCATGCAAATCTTAGCACGAACTAATGCGTGATCAGAGTCTAGAAAAGTTGACCAGTACGATCGGCAGTCCGTTACGCTTCCGCGCCATCTGTAGCTGATTGCTATGTGGTCAAGCTGGGAGCACTCTTGCGTTTGTGAGGGCGGGCGCCAGGTAGCAGTGTGTCTCCTCGAGTGTCGAAAACTAGTGCTCGAAAGAAACAAGCGATGATCAGAGCAAAGAGCAAGCAATCTGTCTCCATTGTCTGATCGACTGCCACCGAGACCAAAACTACCCCCAATGTGGTGCTCGCTTGGTAGAAGGCGGCCAACCCGTGCGTTAAAGTCCCCGGCAAGGATGACTATATCCGTCCATTTGGAGGAACGTAGAAGTTCATGTAGTTGTTGGTAAAAGCTATCTTTAACTGCATCCGGGCTGCAGTCTGTAGGGGCGTAGGCGGAGACGACAAATAAGGCACGCTTAACATCTCGACGCCTGCTTACGTTACATGAACCTCTTAGTCTGACCGCACATAGCCGACTGTTGACTGGGATCCAGTCAAGCAGAGCTGATTCAGCCCTGGCACTCAGTACAACCCCAACACCAGCTTGACCAGTGGCCGCAGCTTCTGGGTCTCCGGAAAGCCGCAAGTAGTATTTGGAGTCGGAGTTTACCGGAGAGGCCATTCTGATGACGGCGCTAGAGTCTTGTAATCTGGTCTCTGCACGGCAACAGATGTCTACCAATAGCGTTTCAAGAGTACGGGCCAGACATGCTTGTCGTCCGATCTGCATCAAAGTTCGAACATTAAACGCTGCGAGGATGAATGGAGAACCAGGTCGAAGAAGAGCTGGAGCTTCGGTGGAGTGAGAGGCGGTTGTGATCGCAGGACGTTGAAAACCGGGAGTTTGGCTGTTACTTCCATCAGCTGCGAGACGTGGGTCGTTCGTGACGGTGACCGTAGAAGATATAAAAGTACATGTAGGTGAAGGACGGGAGGTGGGGTGGTCTGTGAGTGGACGTTGAGCGGTTGAGTTAGGACAGAAGAGCGGCATAGCAGTAGCACTAGTGAGCGGTGTAGTCCATGATTCGTCAGTGGGTGTGATACTACCCGGTTGCCCAGGCCGAAGTAGAGGGTTGTCTTAGGGGGCCCTACCCCGAGCCTCTGATCAAAGATCTAACCTACAAGGCAGCAGGGCGATGTGAGGGCGTCGCAACCCGTTGGGAGCCGGTGACCAAATAGATGGTTCATACGCCTTTCGGTCCGTGAAGGACCAGGGGCCCAACGCACCCTTAAAGTACAATGCTTCTCAAGGAGGGGCAAGGGGCAGTGACTTTATTTAGTGGTGAGTCACATCCGCCACGTCGCAGTGTTGTTAAACGGGCATATGTGGCTTTTTATAGGGAGAACGCTTGCCAAGCGAAAACCCACCACGTCCTGGAACACTGCCGCCGAACCATTCGCTGGAACGGGAAAAACCCGAACCACCCAGCTGGCACCACGAGGGGGTTGTTCGGCAAGCCAGCCATGAAGGTGTAGAAGGCATGCTTCGTCTTGGTTGAGTCAGTAAAAGAACAGTCAGTCTTTCTTTCTCGATGGGTCTCAATGCAGTCGTGTTAGGCTACGCGTCTTTCGTCTTCAGTCTCAGCTGGAGTGTACATCTGGCGGCTAGGTCACGTTAGCCCGTGACGTTCCGGAATCGATTGGCTACTCTGTAAGCATGGGGTACTATCTTTGAAGAACGTTTGTCCGATGCGACTACGAGTCGAAACAGGTAGGACGCGTTGTAACACTAATGCCCAAAACAAAAGTGGTTGGTGCATGGTTTATTCACCGCCTACAACAAAAAGCCAAAAATAAAAATTGAATGAGGGATGATCTGTAAAAAATGACATGGCAATAATGAAATTACGGGAAGCTGACAAACCGAGCACAGCGGCTACATAGTTTTCCTTCATAGTTACCGCAGGTGAACAGTTATGATCTAGGCAGCGACGCATGACAAAATGAGGTTGAATGCAAAAAGAAGAAATCGAGAAGAAAGTGCGTTTAACTAATAAGATAAAATAAAAGTTAACAGACAGCTGCAAGTTCTAGTCCAAGTTTGGTTGGGACTAGAACGATAGGAGAATCCCGTGAGTATTCCATCGTGAGTGGATCGTTGAGCCAAGAATTGATGAAGGGCTCAGAGTTGCTGATGGATCTAAAACGGAACACCCGTATCGCACCCTGGCCAACCGATTAATGCTCATGTTTCCTAGCCTAGTAGTCCCTGCTGTGGCAGTCACGTGA